CCACCAGAGTATCTTTCCTACCTTGTCACAAAGTATAACTAATCCCAAAGGGCAGTCTTCAGAGAAGAGAAAGCACCTGAGAGGGAGCCTAGATGTGTAAGGCTTCCTCCAAGGCTCAAATGCCCTTTCTTGCTAAAAAGACAAGTTACTGGAAGGAAGTGGGTTGCAAAGAGACCTGACCTGGTCTCACCCTCCAAAACTATGGGCTTAGATGATGGGAATAGGGGCCACCTGACCAGGACAAGGCACCCTGCTGCTTTCTCACCCTTTCCTGCCTCTGCTGGAACAAAGTGAGGCGCAAGGTCCTCTAGATGGGATCGACTCACCTCAAGCCCATGCCCAAGTGCTTTATCAGGTTGCTCAGCGAGATGTCGTTGGCATTAAAGGGTTTCCTCTTCTCTGCAAACTCGTGAGCCAGGCAGATGCGCCAGCCAAAGGGAGGCACCTGGTAGCCCTTAGCTTTCCCCTCGTAGGAAGCCATCAGCTGCCCGGAGTCCTCCGGACTGCTGTAACCCTGTTCATGCTGGGGTTGACTGTCCTCAGGGATCGGACAGTCTGTAACCTGCACAGCCTCCGTGCCATTTTCAGGGCAAGAAGCCTGTGGATCCCCTTTGGCACAGCTGGTCTGCTCCGAGGCTGGGACTCCGGTCCCCATATTCCCTGGATCCTGGGTCTCCAGGACCTCGGTGGCTTCCGTTCCCGAGCTTTCTGGTACCAAGTATCTGGCCAGTCAAGCCCAGATGCGGGCGTGGATGGTTGTTAGGTGTTGTCTCGGAGAGCCGGCCACTGGGGAAAGCTGAGGCGAGCTGATGTCTCCGTGAAACCAGGTAGCTGTTGCTGCTGCGGCGGCGGCGACAGCAATAAAGCCACCACGGTCTCACCCTCGGTTGTCTCTCTGGGTCCTGGGCGGGAAGGATCGGGTCTCGACGTCATTGGGCCGCGGTGATTAGCTGGCCCGGCCAAAGGGCGACTGGGCCCGCGGAGAGGGGAGGAGCCCCCGGGGCCGGCCCTCCAGGCACCGCCCCCGGGGCCGGCCTGGGAGTTCGCGGCAGCCCAGACCCCGTCCCCGGGCCGCGGCACCAGGCACCCCAGTGCTGGGCGCCGGGTCCCGCTGGCCGGTGTCCGGGGCGGCGCCCGCGCCCGGGTACCAGCCCGTGGGAAGGTGACCCAGGGCGGCCGGCCCACCCGAGCCCCTTCCGGCCTAGCCGGCCCGCCGCTTCCGGCCGGAAGGGGCTCCGAGGGAAGTCCCGCCTCTGCCGCGGCCGCAGCCACGCACTTGGCCCGGGCCCGGAGGGGCGGGCGGCCGGGGCCTTCGAGGCACCGAGTACCCTGTTTCAGTCTGGCCCCCCGCTTCGATCTGAGGGGTATCCGGGCTTGGGCGCGAGGTGCCGGGCGGCCGGGGCCCCGGGCTGGGACGTTGAACCTCCAGGGAAGGGGTCGGGGGCGGCCTGGGGGTCCCGGCGGGGAAGAGGGTCATGACCTGGCGCCGATAGGAGCGGGGGGCTGGGACCCTAAGCGGCGCCGTCTCCCTCTGCAGTGCCCGGTCAGCTGCCGCCGTACCTGTCTTCCGCCTTCCCGCATTCCAAACCTGGGCGCTTCCCTCTGACACCGTGGTACTGAACGCCCGTTTCCTTGGTCCTCACCCCCAGGCTCGCCCGAGACGCCCTTCGCTGCCGTGGTACTGACCTCTGACACCCCTTGTTTCCTTCTAGATCCGATCCCGCAGCTGCCATGATTGAAGTGGTAGCGGAGCTGAGCAGAGGTCCTGTGTTTCTGGCAGGGGAGGCCCTGGAGTGTGTGGTGACCGTCACCAACCCCCTGCCGCCGACGGCCACTTCTGCGTCCAGGTGGGGACACTGGTACTGAAGAAGGCTGCCCTGCGGGGAGGAAGCCTGGGGTCTGTGGTGCTGAGCCAGGGCTCAGGTTGTGCTGTGGCTACATCACCACCACCTTGCTCATTGTGCCCTCGTTGTAGGGAAGGGCTAGTTAACTGAAGGTGCAGGTGACATAGCCGTCGGCTCGCCTTTCCTCTCTCCTCCCCCTGCTGCCCATGGCATACTTCTCTTTGTATAATTCTTTGGGGTTCCTGATTCTCTGATCCGAAGGACAGCCAGCTCACTGCGTTGGTCTTAGTGTGGTAGGGAGTTTGGGAGAGCATTTGTGAGGTCAGGAACTGCCCTCTGATGCCCTCTTTTCCCCCTCCCATAGTGAGGCTCTGGCCTGGGCCAGCGCCCAAATCCACTGCCAGTTCCACGCCAGTGAGAGTCGAGTGGCAGTACCTCCGCCTGACTCCAGCCAGCCGGATGCCCAGCCCGAGAGCCAGACTGTCTTTCTTCCACACCGAGGTTAGAGGCGGGGCTTTGGCTTCAGAGGGGGACGGAATCATTGTTACCCATGGGTGAAGTTGTCAGATTGTTGCAGTGGGTCATTCCAGTCTCTGTCCTACTGGGGATGTGGTGGAGTGTAATTATTGCTTTGGGGGCGTAAAGCTGTTCCTGTCTCACCCTGAGCAAAGAGGGGTGGCTTAGTTAGGGTTGCCCCCACTTGCTGTGCTAGCCTTCTCCAGTGCTAGACAATGTGGATATTAAGTTGCAGTCTTCTATTTTTTAGGTGAGAGGGGTCAGTGTATCCTTTCCACTCCACCAAAAATCCTCTTCTGTGACCTGAGGCTAGACCCTGGAGAGTCCAAATCGTGTGAGTGACTGCCCCCTGGCCCCTGGATTGCCTTCCACGGCTCCTGGAGGGAGGCCTTCTCTGGCTCCTTCCAGCTGCCCTGACTACTGCTTCCCAATCAGACTCCTACAGCGAAGTGCTGCCTGTGGAGGGACCACCCTCGTTTCGGGGTCAGTCAGTCAAGTATGTGTACAAACTGACCATCGGCTGCCAGCGTGTCAACTCACCCATCACTTTACTCAGGGTCCCTCTGAGGGTTCTTGTGCTCACTGGTAAGCAAGGGTTCCTGGAGCGAGGGGTTGGGGAAGAGCCTCACCAAAGCAGTAATGCTCTTTAGAGAGTTTGTGAAAGGGGCTGGAGGGAAGCTTCCTGATCTTAGTCAAGGTGTGAGGGAGTTGGGGAGAGAAAGTCCTGGAGCGTAGGTGAGATGCCTGCCCCTCAGTTGTGGCGCCCTGTACCTTCAGCCCTGTTAGGTTGGCGTCTAAAACCCTAAAAACTGCTCTTCTCTCCCACCACCCCTCCACTCACTCACTCTCTAGGCCTCCAAGATGTCCGGTTTCCCCAGGATGAGGCTGTAGCCCCATCCAGCCCATTCCTGGAGGAGGATGAAGGTGGGAAGAAGGATTCGTGGCTCACTGAGCTCGCTGGGGAGCGTCTCATGGCTGCCACATCCTGCCGCAGCCTCCGTGAGCATCCTTCCAGAACTGCCCCGCCCCTTCCTCCCCCGTAGTATTCCTGTCTCAGAGCCAGACTCTCCTAACCGCCACATTCTTCTGAGGACCCACAGATAGCTCATGATTTTAAAGGAAGGCCCACCTCTTGGGTCCCCAGTATGGACCCCAGGCTTACTCTGTTCCTCTCTCCCCAGATCTGTACAACATCAGTGATGGCCGAGGAAAAGTTGGGACATTTGGCATCTTCAAATCTGTATACAGACTTGGCGAGGACGTGGTGGGGACCTTAAACTTAGGGGAAGGAACTGTATCTTGTTTGCAGGTGAGAGAGGAGCAGGAGCTTTGGGGGAACTGGGCGTGAAGGATTAGGGTGGAAGGAGCAGGCCTGCATAAAGACAGGCGGCACGGAGAAGTGGGCATCACCCAGGGCCCTCTGGGGAAACAGCGTGCGGCTGGGCTGCCCTCCCGCCCAGAGTCGTCCCCGCGCCTGCCTGCACACCCTTGTCTTCTTGATCGCAGTTCTCGGTGAGCTTACAGACGGAGGAGCGTGTGCAGCCTGAGTACCAGCGGCGTCGTGGGGCCGGAGGTGCCCCCTCGGTGTCCCACGTCACTCATGCCCGGCACCAGGAGTCCTGCCTACACACGACCAGAACCAGCTTCTCTCTCCCCATCCCTCTCAGCTCCACCCCAGGCTTCTGCACAGCCATTGGTGAGACCCTGACCATCGCTGGGGCCGAGGGGAGCCCAGGGTAAAACGCTGTGCTTTGGTACAGTATAATGGACCCTGGTTCCTAACACACACCCAGAAGTTTCCACATCCAACCTCTGACCCTTAACACTTCCTCAGACCTTCAGCCTGTTTCTTGGGTGCACGGACCCCTAAATTCTTAACAGCTGCGCAGATTTTCTCTCCCCCTGCCCACTGGAACCCTGTGGTGCACTTATGTCTGATTCTGCAGAGCATTTGCTTCAAGCTACCAAGTCCTGACTGTCCCACATTTGGGTTCTTAGGTACTTGATGCTCTTGTCCTTATTGTCACATTTCCGATTTCTTCAGCGAAATCCTCTATCCTGGCTCCCTGCCCCATGACCTCCCTGCTCTTCCTGAACACAGGGTTTTGTTTTTGTTTTCTAATTTGCTAACCACGTTCTGTCACTGGCCTTTATTCCTGGCCTCTAAATACTTCTGCCTTTATCTTTACCCCCCCGCAGTGTCCTTGAAGTGGCGTTTGCATTTTGAGTTTGTCACCTCCCGAGAACCCGGTTTGGTGCTCCTACCTCCCATGGAGCAGCCCGAGCCCACCACCTGGACGGGGCCTGAGCAAGTGCCCGTGGACACCTTCAGCTGGGACCTGCCCATCAAGGTGCTGCCGACAAGCCCTATGCTGGCCTCCTACGCGGCCCCCGGCCCCAGCACCAGCACTATAACCATCTGACCCTGGCCCACAGCCTTCTTCAGGATCCTGAGAACTCAGCCCCTGGGCGCTGGTAGGGCCCGTTGTTTCCACCTGGGGTCCAGTGGCACAGATAATGAGAGGCGGGCTTTCGGCTGGAGCGTTAACTTATTTATTCAGAATAAATCGGCAGCTGCTAGTGGTTTCCCTGGAAGTGGCAGCAGCAGTGGGCGGTCAGCAGCAGGGCAGTCAGTCGCGTTTAGCTGGAGTGGGGAGCAGGCGCCGCAGGCACAGGGGTGTTAGCTGAGCCCCACTCTGGGTCGGGCCCACCCCCTTTGCAGGGCAGCCGAGGGTCAGATTTTTGCACGAGGGAGAACTGGCATGTTCCTGCCTCCTGGCGTACCTCACAGCCCGCAGGGAAGTCGATAGGATGCTGGGACCTGGGGAACCGAAGGACAGGGGAAGGGTCAGGACAATGAAGGTCCACCTTTATCCCTGCCCCGCATCCCCTCCCCAGCGCTCCTCCCGTGTCTCCCCAGTACCCCCGGCCCTGCAGGATTTCTCTTGTCTGCCATATATGGATTTTTTTACATTTCATAGCAAGAATAGTTTTCCTCCAGATCCACCTAACTCCCCTCACTCTGTAGCCTGAAGCCTCTCACCCCTTCTTGTCGGTACCGTCAAGTTCAGCCTCTAGCTGCTTCTCCATTCATTCTCACATCAGAGCAATCTAGTCACACCCTGGCCAGCTCTCCGTCCCTCACATCTCTGGCCACCTTTGGTCACTCACGTGTCACAGCAGCCCACACCGACCGGATGCAGACAGGTGCAGTGGAAGCAGTCCTTGCGGAGCCAAGACTCGCCCAGGGTGAAATACTTCCCCTCATAGTGGCAGGGGGCTGGGGAAGAACAGGAGATGTTCGTGCCGGAGCCGAGGGGCAAGGGCGCGCTGCCCCCACGTGTGGCCCCTCCTGCGTCCCAGCGCCAGGGAGTCTGGGCTTGCTGCCAGGGGACCATCTCGGAGCCCTTCCTCCCGTGCCCTCGGCACGCATCCTTCCTCACGCCTCGCCCAGCTTTACCTTGAGCTTGGAAGTAGCACTTGCCGTGGACGCCCTGGTGCTGGAGGAGCAGAGATGCCACCAAGCAGATGACCCCCCAGCCTCCCCGCGTCCCCGCAGCCTGGCCCGTCCGGGGCGTCCCTGGGGCCATCCCGGCAGCGCAGCTCTCTCGGGCCCGCTTGGTTTCCGTTCCGGCTGCTCTGGCCTCGTCTCCTCGGCTTGCCTCTGTTCCTCTCCTTGAGCCTTAGCGTCTGTCTCTCTCCCCTGGGCGCCTGTCTCACACCATCTCCGTGCCCTCTGTTCTCACAGGCTTGGGGATGTTTATAAAGTGAGGACCCTGGCCCCCTGCTGAGTGGAGCTGGAAAAGCTGTAACTCTGTTTCCTGAGGTGAGGGCATGAAAACAAGAGGTCTAGCTTTAACAAGCTGTGAGAGCTGATTCATGCCCCCGCACAGCCAGGGGGAGGAGGGTGGCCGGGGAAGGGGCGCTGGACTGGGCACTTCCCCAGCAAGGAGGGGGCGGGGTGAGGTCCCCCAGGTGGTCCCCAGAACTCTCCCTGGCCTGGAGAGAAGGAAGCATTCCACCATCTCCCCCCGCCCCGTAATACACACACACACAAACTCTCCAGGGGTGTGTACGCTGGGATCCCTGCCTGGACCGGAGGGAGGCATTTCCTGGGGATGGCTAATCCTGTGCCCCAGCCAAACCAAGGAGATGCAGTAGGGTGCGACGGCCAGAGGCTCCAGGAGAGCGAGCGGGCACCTGGTGTGGAGAATGTTTCTCTCAGACCTTCGGGCAGGGTCTCCTTGCAGTGTCCTAGAGACATGGCTGCCCCTCCTCAGAGGCTAGGGGTGGGGGGCTGGGGGCAGGTGTCTCTTGTTTTTTATAGGCATCCCAGAGATAAGACTATCCATTGTTCATCACCCCAAACACACAACAAATAAAAGATCTCGCCATACCTGGGAATGGTTCTTTTCAAAGAGGAACATCTCTAAGTGCCCTCACAATATGGGTCACTCCAGCTTTCACAAGAGAGGCCCCTCTTTTCTCCTATACGTTACGGAATGAGGATTTAGGAACGTATCCTCTGACATCCTCTTTTGGATTTCCTGTAGGTTCTGGAGAACCTGAAGAGAGGTGATTAAGATCATAGGTTGTAGAGTCAGACTCTGGATTTAGATCCTAAAGAGCTGTGTGTCATTGAGCAAGTTAGTTCACCTCTCTAAACCTGTTCCCTTATCTGTAAATTGGGATAGTGATACCAACTCATAAGATCATCAAGAGGATTCCATGAGATGATGCATGTCATGCTCCTAGCACTGTGCCTCTGGAAAGAGTAAACTGCTGCGGTCGGTGCTAGACGTTCCTTTCTTTGAGTGATGTGGAGGAGTCCTGTGTGCACGGCCCACGGCTTCTGTTGGGGCTGCTATAGACTTCTTTCACTTGCACACATATGCTCCTTGCAACCTACCACTTCCTTCAAAAATAACCTCCAGGATGGTTTTGGTCCTTGTGTCCTTGAAACTCTAAATGTCCACTTTGAGAAACTGTTGCTGATAAGCCTCCTTTTCCTAGGTCAGTACCCCCACTTCTTCCCTGGGAAGACATATCCTTTTTCCATCCTTCCAGCTAACTTTGGGACTCCTGCTTTTTCTCATAAGGGTTCTGAACAATTTCTTCCCATCCTCCTGTGAACTCTCAAGTTCTCCTTTCTGACGAGGCTAATGCCGCCCTTTGGTATTAATTGCCCCAGCCACACTGGATTTCTTTCACTGTTTCACACTCCGAAGACCCCTGTTCCAGCTATCACTCTCCTACCCACAGGGTCAATCACTTTGGCATTTATTCTACTTTGCTTCTAAGTCTTCAGTTCCATTTACCTCTAGACTCCCACTGTAACCCAGGGGTTCCAATCCAACTACTTCGGGCTGACTTCCAAAGGACTGCCCTTCTCCTCACCTTGTCACCATTCAAAAACAGCATCAGTCCTCCAAATTCCCTATCCTTTTCCAAGAAGACAGCTTACATGGCTGGAGATGAGGACTGTACCGCATCTTCACCCTAGTCTGGTCTGATATACTTTCCATCTCAGAGAAGCAGCGAGGGAAAAAAAAAAAAAGAAAACGGGAGCAGGGTGCCCTGGTGTAGGCTGGCATGTGGGAGGCGTGGCCTTGGAATTTTGTGGACTGGAGCAGGTGGATTCAAAGGCTTGACCAACACAAGGGCCCAGAAATCCTGTCAGTGGCCAGTAGTTCCGCTGCTGCCTTTGTGGGGACACCAGCTGACACTCTTGATGCTTGGACCATAGACTTCCTTCTGCTCCTGCAACCTGGAGCCAACCCCATGGGGGGCAGACACTAGAGAGCGAGCTAGAGAGCTTGAAGGGAGTGGTGGTCGTGCTGTAGGCAGAGGGACCCAGTGGGGATTGGTGTGTGTGAGGTCACGGGACGGGCGAGTTCCGGCCTGTAGTGAAGAGGAGGTAGGCATACGGGGCAGGAGTAGGGGGCTGCTTCTGCGGGAAATCTGGGGCGGAGACGGGAGCCCTCTCCAAGAAGTGGCGGGGAGGTGTTGGTTGAACCGGTTTCTTGCAAGCCTGCTGGTGTGCGGGCTCGTGTGTGCATCCGTGGAGCTTCTCAGGACCGGGGCCACCCTTGCGGGGGGGGCGGTGCACGCGCACGCGCGCGTGCCTGGGGCATGGCTGGCGGGGATGCCAGTTGTGGGGGGCGCGGCGGTTGGCTTTCGGCTGGCTCGCGCTGCCCACGCGGGGACAGAAAAACATCCGCCGGAGGCCCGGCCGGGCGGCGCTCCAACCGCGCCGGGCAGGTGCGCGGCGGGAGGAAGTGAGCGCATTCCGACGCCCCAGCCGGGCAGGACCGGAGGGACTGGCAGCGGCCGTGGGGAGATTCCGGGGCCAGAGCCCCAAGGGGCGGCTGGGAGTGAGGAGCCCGGGGAGGGTCTTGTAAGCGCCGAGAGAGAGCTGGGGGGAGAGCCCCGAGGGGTCGGGGTCTGGGGTTCGCCCAGGGCTTGAACACCTAAGAGCCGCCCACTGCCAGCCCCCGCCAGCCGAGGGAGAGGGGCCCCGGGGAGGAGGGCCCGGGAAGGGCAGCGAGGAGTGCGGGGCTGAAAGCGAGAGCGCTGCTGGCTGGAGCGAGGGACAGGCTCGGCCCGCCAGAGCGTTAGACGGAAGACACCCCCCCCCCACCCCAGGTGGGAAGGGCAAATGGCCACCCCCCAGACGCCGGTGCACCCCGAGAGTGAGAAGCAGGTCAGAGACGAGTAGGAGTTAGGGCTCTCAGGGTCCCATTGTGACCAAGTCGTTAAAGGCCTTGAGTAAGGCATGGAGATGAGGAGTTCGGATTGGCCTCGCAGGTAGTGGAATCGATGGTCACTTAAGGAATAATGGGGAGCTTAGGGGCAAGGTTATCTGTGTCTAGTGCAACTACCATTTCTGGTCTTTGCCAAAGGGCTAGGCATTGATCCTCTAATTTTTATAGTCATTTAAAATTACATGGCTACATTTGTCAAACAGCTTAAGTTATTTGAAGTTTTAAAACTAGAAAAGTTGAAGAATCTGATTCAGTATTTGATTTAAAACTCAAAGGTCAGTTACATGGGATCGAGTCTTTTCCTTTGTCTTGCTTTTGGGCCTCATTCCTGTCACCGACATGTGGGAATTCTTGTGTTAATGCCTCAGTTCTGTGTCAGTGGCATAGAACTTATGCTTTTCCTGTCCCCCATCTTATGGTCTTTATTCTTAACTCTAACTTTTGTCTGTGCAGCCCTTTAACCTGCACTATATAGCCTAAATCCATTAAAACATTTCCTTGGCATTCAGTACAGAAAGACAAGTAACAACTTGACCATATATGTTAGGTTACTTATTATCTTCTGTGGACATGTGTGTAACTACAAAGTTTCTATATTTACCTTGTGGCTGATAAAAAGAGATAGAGCTAAAGTTGTGTTGTTCAATATTCCTATAAACATAGCAATTTATTTGTCTGATTTCTCTTCTAAAATCAACTCTACAGTGTCAGAAACTTACACTAATTCTTTCATGATCTTTTAAGTTTATTTTATCCTAGGCCAAAGGCAATTGCAAGGATTAGGATCGTTGTGATTTATTTTAAAAATCCTTAAATTCCAGTTACTTTTGGCCCCAAACAAGGAAATCTGGGTCGGTTAGTTCTTCTAAAAGAAAATAATTTCCTACTTTGGGCTCTGTTCCTCTCTCTCGTGCTGTTTCAACCCCAACCCTACCTTATTCCCAGTGGCTTTTACCTTCATTCCTTCTTTGCTCTGCTGGGCATCTTTAGAGGAAAACTTCACACCAACTTCCTCTACCATAAATTCTCTCCCTCCTCTCAACTCTGCACTTCTCTTTGCCAACATACACCACTGCTTCTTCATTGATTTTTTTTTTTTTTAAGCCTACAGCCCTTTCTGGCTCTTTTCCATCTTAAACTCTAAACTCTCTTATACTGAAAATCTTTTTCTTCCTTTCTCTTTGATAAAACCTGGGATTTTTAAAGGGTTAGGCCTTATTTATTCTGCATGAGCCACTTCTGCCTTCTTTCCTCTTCTATCACCTTTTTCTTACACTAAATTCTGTACACTCTTATTATGCTTACTTTCAGCATGGGTTCAACCTTCTCCTTGTGACTAAACATTCTTCCAGTAGATATAGCACAAGATTCTTTTTTCCCCCATTTTATTTCCTGCAAGAAAAAACAAAGTTTTCAAATTCACTTCTACTTCAGTCTCATCCTCCCACGTTTTGCATCCAGAAGCATGACTGGGCTATCACTGGAAGGTCCCCTGAGTGCCCACTTAAGCTTGGCATTGTGCTAGGCAGTGTACAGTGCATTTCATTAGCCTGGTGCCAGATTCCTAAGTTCTTACCAGTAACGGGTGTTATCATGTGTGTGTGCATGAATGTTCTCATATACATGTACATACCAAAGTACACAGACAATAGAACCATAAGTCAGAATATGACTATGAATATGTCTATTCAGTATATTTTACATTATGAGCAAGCCAAATACATTTGGGAGTGGAAGATGAGGGTGGGTAGATTCATAGCTAGGATAGAAGGTTAAGAGACAATATCCTTTGCCATTCTATATTCAGATGAGGAGGAGAGGAATCA